ATCTCATGGAAAACACTATGGAGATTCCTTAAAAAACTGAAAATAGACTTACCATATGATTCAGCAATCCCAGTCCTAGGCATATATCCAGAGGAAATGCTAATTTGAAAAGATACACGCACCCCAATGTTCATAGAAGCACTATTTACATAGCCAAAACATGGAAGCAACCTAAATATCCATCCACAGATGACTGGATAAAGAACTTACGGTTACCAGGCAGGGAGAGAGGAGGGAAGGGATAAATTGGGAGTTTCAGATCTGCAGATACTAACCACTATATATAAAACAGATAAACAACAAAGTCTTTCTATAGCACTGGGAACTATATTAAATATCTCACAGTAACGTATAATGAAAAATAATGAAAACAAACATACGTATGTTCATGTATGACTGAAACATTATGCTGTATCTTAGAAATGGACACAACATTGTAAACTGACTATATTTCAATAAAAAACAAAACCCCAAAAACCTGACAGTTACAAATTTAAGATGTTAATCATAACCCTCAGAGCTACTAAAGAAAATGACAGAAATATATACAGAAAAGGAAATGAGAAAGGAATCAAAAGAATACAAAGAAAAAAAAAACTCAAAAAAAGCAGTAAAGAAGTAAATGAAGAACAAAGAAAATATGATACATAGAAAACAAATAACAAAACAGTGGAAGTGCTTCCTTGTCAGTAACCACTTAAAAAAAAATCATGATTCAATTATCTGCTGTGTACAAGTTTCACAAACAAGCTTCCAAAGACAGAGCTAAGTTAAAAGTAAAGTTTGGAAAAAGATATTCCATATAAATAATAAACAAAAGAGAGCCAAATGACTATACTAACATCAGACAAAATAGACTTTAAGTCAAAACTTATTATGAAACAAAGAAATGTATTACATTAATGAAAGTGTCAATTTATCAAGAAGATACAACATTTATAAACATACATACTTAACAATATACCTTCAAAATATATGAAACAAAATCTGACAGAACTGAAGGGAGAAATATTTTAAGTTAAATTTTAAAAATTCTAATATAGAAGTTGGAAGTTGTAATACTCCACTTTCAATAATGGATAGAACAATCAGATGGAAGATCAATAAGGAATAGAGAACTTGAAGAACACTATAAACCAACTAGACCTAACATAACAGACAGAGAACACTCCATCCAAGAACTGTAGAATACACATTCGTTTCAAGTATACATGGAACATTTTCAAGACAAATCACATATTAGGTCACAAAATTAAGTCTCAATAAATTTGATGACTAAAATCATAAAAGGTATCTTCTCAGAACATAATGGAATGAAATGAGAAATCAGTAACAGAAAGAAATATGGAAAATTCACAAAGCTGTGGAAATTAAACAACACACTCTTAAGCAACCAATGGGTCAAAGAAGGTATCACAAGGGAAATCAGAAAATACTTATAGACTCATGAAAATGAAAACACAACATACAAAAACTTATGGAATGCAGAAAAAGTAGTGTTCAAAGGGAAATGTTTATAGTTGTAAACATCTAAATTAAAAAAGAAAAAAAAATCTCAAATCAGTAGTCTTATTATCCTAAGGAACTACAAAAAGAAGAGCAAACAAGCTAGTAGAGGGGGGAAATAATAAAGATTAAAGTGGAGATAAATGAAATGAGAATGGAACAATACACAGAAACAAAACCAAAAGGTGATTCTTTTAAAAGATCAACAAAATTGACAAACCTTTGGACAGAATGACCACGGAAAAAAAAG